GTTCATCACCGGTACTACGCGTTTACATTTGTCCGTCTTTACTAGTCGTTTTTTTAAAGACATTTCAGTTTCAGATAACTTTATAATGGTTGTTACGGATAACTATCGTCATTTCAACCGATTTCGGCTGGGAAACTACTTATTTTTAACTTGCGCACCAATTACGGTGCGCTCCCGGACTTTGTCTATGGAGGTACGCAGGGCTGTGGTGGGGACATCCATCAACCGAACGCGTCCCCGTACACACAGCACTGTACGCAGGGCTAGTGTTCGTAAATATCGGTATTTATGAGCAAGGGTAAGCATTTTTTTTTTATTTAAAGCCGTAAAAGACACATTTATATTAACATGCGAAGTATGTTACCATTGATTTTACACAGCACATCATCTACCTTCCACATAATCTCAAATAAATTCAGGCAATTAGTTTTTGATAAATATAATTGCGAATAAAAATTCCCGGAGGATCACTGGAGCCTTTATTCAGTTTTGCTTCTTGGTACGACGGGTGATGTGAATTGCAGCCTTAGTCGTGTACGATAAGTAGAACAATAACTCTTGCGTCTGGCTGAAAGGAAAGAGTTTTTGCGACGGGATCGTAAAATAGTGAATCACCAACTAAGGATGTGAAAGTCTGGTTCAACCAGTCGCGACGTGATACTATAAGTACATTGTATAACAGTAACTTTTAAACTCATAGTTGCTGTCGACATAGGAAGTAAAGTAAGCAAATAACACCGAATAAACGGCAAGGTAAAGACTATGTCTAATTATAGTAAATACGTACTGCGTGCGTGACTCGAACCGGCGCTCGCGTACGGCACCTAATCGCCTAGCTTCACGCCACTACACGTCTTCCCCTCGGCCACCGGGCATCCCCAATAAAGGATGCTTAATAACCGAGCTTATTACGTGCAGAGAACGTGAAACCCGTCCACGCGATACGCGCCACACAGCATGGCCAGAATGCGGCAAAGGCCTTCAGATCTGAGAAAGTAATTCTGGCCATGAATCACCAACTAAGGATGTGAAAGTCTGGTTCAACCAGTCGCGACGTGATACTATAAGTACATTGTATAACAGTAGTGAAGTCGGACGCTACATGTTGAAATGTGTTGACCGCATCACAGAACGGACGTTTATTTGAATTGTTCAAACGGGCTTTGAACAGAAATCTCCCCCATAGGAAAGGCACCATGGGAAATACGCCGCTGCATATCCTTGAAACTGGGTTTAGCAGACTAAGTACAGTATGTCGCGCCAGACAGAGTCCAGTTTTTAGATATTTAGACATTGTGCTTTTTAAACGTATATAGTGGTAAATTCAGTCCGTCAGAAAAGTGCAGTTGACTGTTCAAAGCTATGATGTGAAAGAGGTTGATTACACTTCCCATTTCCTTTGAAATAAGTATCGATAGTGTCTTTCCATTTGGCGGGGATAAAAACGTGATCACCTTCAACACTGAGCCGAACAAAACGCTCAGAATGGATTTTAATTCTATCGGGCATATCGGTGGTATCCAGCGATTCGTTTCTGACACTAATTCACGGACTTTGGTTATTTCCGCGTCCAAAAAGTGTCGGAGCGAAAAAAATGAAATAAGGATGAGTGGGCTATTAAAAATGGCTCATTAAGAATATCAGTTATAGGTTACTAAATTTAAACTGTATCTACAGATTTCCAACACTGAAGGAGTTCACAATATAATAATGGCTATTGGTGTATTAGTGCATTTAAAATGGTACTTGCATATGACGTATTACTTGAATATGACTATTACTTGCATATGACTATTACTTGCATATGACTATTACTTGCATATGCCGAATTACTTGCATATGACTATTAGTTGAATATGACGTATTACTTGCATATGACGTATTACTTGAATATGACTATTACTTGCATATGACGTATTACTTGCATCTAACGTATTACTTGCATATGACGTATTACTTGCATATGACGTATTGCATATGAGGTATTACTTGAATATGAGGTATTACTTGAATATGACGTATTACTTGCATATGACGTATTACATGCATATGACTATTACTTGCATATGACTATTACTTGCATATGACGTATTACTTGCATATGACTATTACTTGCATATGACTATTATTTGCATATGACTATTGCTTGCATATGATGTTTTACTTGCATATGACTATTACTTGCATATGACTATTACTTGCATATGATGTATTACTTGCATATGACGCATTACTTGCATATGACTATTGCTTGCATGTGACGTATTACTTGCATATGACTATTACTTGCATATGATGTATTACTTGCATATGACTATTACTTGCATATGACGTATTACTTGCATATGACGTATTACTTGCATATGACTATTACTTGCATATGACGTATTACTTGCATATGACGTATTACTTGCATATGACTATTACTTGCATATGACGTATTACTTGCATATGACTATTACTTGCATATGACTATTACTTGCATATGATGTATTACTTGCATATGACTATTACTTGCATATGACGTATTACTTGCATATGACGCATTACTTGCATATGACTATTGCTTGCATATGACGTATTACTTGCATATGACTATTGCTTGCATATGACTATTACTTGCATATGACTATTACTTGCATATGACGTATTACTTGCATATGATGTATTACTTGCATATGACGTATTACTTGCATATGACGCATTACTTGCATATGACTATTGCTTGCATATGACGTATTACTTGCATATGACTATTGCTTGCATATGACTATTACTTGCATATGACTATTACTTGCATATGACGTATTACTTGCATATGATGTATTACTTGCATATGACT